TTTTTTTTTTTCTTTTTGCTTATGTGGTGCTGAGGAATTGAACCCAGGGCCTCAGGCATGCAAGGCAAATGCTCTACCACTGAGCCACCTTCCCAGCCCTCTGCTCTTGCTTTTTAATTTTTTTATTTTACTCTTATTGGTAATCTTTTGTCCAGGCTGGCCTTGGAACAGGTACCTCCTCAAGTGTTTTGGGTTACAGGCATGAGCCACCATGCCTAGCTATGACAGAAGCTTTGTAGATAGTGATTCTGGGATCACAGTTTCTTTCATTTTGTGACTCTGCCATTTTCTAGGGCTTCTTTGCTGCTGGATTCTCAGCATCTGGCCAGCAGATGGAGGAAGGGAGAGAGGCAAGATTATGTAGGTTTTAATTGGGTCGCCCTTGCTTGGGTCTGCTCACTTCCCATTGGCCAGGACTCCATGTAGCTATGGGGCCCGCAAAGGTGCAAAGGCTCATGGGAAATGTAGTTCAGCGGTTTCTGCCATGCCACATAAACACCAAATTACCAATTACTGCAAATGGTGAGTCTGGTAACATTCCTGTTGGATTGGGCTTAAGAATGCTCATTTCACTTGTAGCAAAAGTGAAACCCTGTTCCGTTATCTGCAAAGATCTGCACTGTCTACTCATTATTCTCCGTCTGCTCCTGATTTTATATCATAGCTCACTCTGCTCCTAGGGTACTGGCCTTGAACTCCTGGTCCTCCTGCCTCTGCCTCCAGATTACTAGGATTACTAGTATATGGTACTATACAGGACTTTTTATTTTTTATTATTCTTTCTTTCTTTCTTTATTTATTTTGGTCGGTCATGGGCCTTGAACTCTGGGCTTGGGCGCTCTCCCTCAGCTCTTCAGCTCAAGGCTAGTGCTCCACCACTTGAGCCACAAAGCCACTTCCTGCTTTTTCTGCTTATGTGGTGCTGAGGAATCGAACCCAGGGCCTCATGCATGCAAGACAAGCACTCTACCACTGAGCTACCTTTCCAGCCCCTTATATTTATTTTTTCAATTTCTATTTTCCCATAGCACAAATCATTCCTAAAGTTTATATGATTCATAGGGTGATTTCAGTTTTCCTTCTCTGCCAGTAGACTGAACTCCACAAGGTCAGGGACTTTGTCTTGTAGCTCCAGAACCCAGACCAGTCCTGCTGCCCACAGTGGGTCTCTCTTCTCCATGCCTGTTTGCTGAATAATGGGTTGTTCTGGGATGAGGAGAGCTGAAGTTCTTGAGGATATTCAGAGCACTCTATCCTCCCCAGGGTTGTCAGTGACTGCATCATTGAAATGGGCAGATTAGCACTGGGCTTGGCAGGTCACGGAGTTTTCCATTTGCAAACCAATGGACCAGCTATAGAGATGGGCAGAACATTGGAATTTTTAGGAAAGAAACAACAGACTATGGTAAGAACTGGAGAGGCTGCAGAGAGGTGCTAAATGCTGGCTCTGGAAGAACCCAGGCATCGTGGAGAGGGGGATAAGGGACCCTGTCTGATTGTGATCAACGGAGATTCCCAGGAAGGGGCAGATTTAGATGAACTTGGGCCTACAAAAATGGAGAAACATTTGTACTGGAGGAGAAGATAGGAAGGATTTTCAGGATGTCAAGATAAGTCAAAATAGCCGAGTGCTGATGGCTCATGCCTGTAATCCTAGCTACTCAGGAGCCTGAGATCAGAGGATCGTAATTTGGAGCCAGCCTGGGAAGAAAAATCTGTGAGGCACTCTCTCTCTCTCTCCCTCTTTCCCTTTCTCGTTCTCTCTCCCTCTCTATCTCTCCCCCTCCTCCCTCCCTCTCTTTTGCCAGTCATCCTGGGGCTTGAACTCAGGGCCTGGGTATTGTCCCTGAGCTTCTTTTGTTTAAGGCTAGCACTCTACCACTTGAGCCACAAGCACTACCTCTGGCTTTTTCTGTTCAAGTGGTACTGAGGAATGGATCCCAGGGCTTCATGCATGCTAGGCAAGCACTCTACCACTAAGCCACATTCCCAGCCCCTCCATGAGACTTATGTCCAATAAACTGCTCAGAAAAAGCTGGAAGTGGCGCTATGGTTCAAATGGTAGAGTGCTAGCCTTGAGCACAAAGAGGCTCGGGGACAGCGCCGAGGCCCCGAGTTCAAGCCTCAGGACTGGCAAAAAAAAAAATCATAAAAGACTGGTATGGAAAATGTATACCTGTTTAGGAGGTGGAGATAGGAGGATTGGGAGTTCAAGACCAGCTTGAGCTACATAGTGAGACCCTGTGTCAGGAAACCATTAAAGAAAAGAGTAAAGAAAAAAAGGAGTTACAACACAGGACAGAGAGGGGGCTTTGTTTCCCATGCATATGTCTTGTCTGTCCATCTAGCTATCCAATGTTTCTGAGCTAGTTTGAGGGTATTTGGTTTTGTCTTGGGGGAAGTGGGGAGCAGGAGAGGGCCATGGCCAGGTCTGGCTGTGAATGGATTGAATTGGAGAAGAGAGGTTGGAAGCTAAGGACAAGGGTGACAGAAGATACGGTGGAGACTGAGTCTGGAATAGAGGAGAGCGAGAAAGAAGGGATGCATAAAAAGTCAGTGACCAAGAAAGTGTGAATGCTTGCAGTCATGCTCAGCCCTGATAGACACATGGACTTACTTACTCTCTGGAGCTTGGGGACTGGTGAGCGGGTGGGGAGGGGCTTCTTGCAGTGCAGATCAGGGGGCTGGCTCACGCCCACTCCTCATCTACTGTTTGCCATCCTCAGTACCAGAGGCACCTATTCGTTCACATCAGCCAGCACTGTCCCAGCCCGGGAGCGCCGCCACTGGAGAGTGTGGATGTCCGGCAGATCTATGACAAATTCCCTGAGAAAAAGGGCGGGCTGCGGGAGCTGTATGACCGCGGGCCTCCCCAGGCCTTTTTCCTGGTCAAGTTTTGGGTAAGTTCTGGCAGTTCGGCAGAAATCTGGCGTGCTCTGTGGGACTGGGTGTTGGGCCAATAGTGGGGCTTGAACTCAGGACCTGAGCACTGTCCCTGAGCTTTTTTGTGCAATGCTAGCACTCTGCCACTTGAGCCACAGTGTCATTTCTGGCTTTTTTGGTGGTTCATTGGAGATAAGTGTCATGGACTTTACTACCTCGGCTGAATTCGAACCACAATTCTTAGATCTCAGCTACCTGGGTAATTAGGATTACAAGCATGAGCCACCAGTTCCTCGCTTACACAATCATATTTTATATCAGAGACTTTGTGTATTGGGGGATGACTCCATATGTTTTTGACTTTTTTTTTTTTTTTTTTTTTGGTCAGTCGTGAGACTTGAACTCTGGGCCTGGATGCTTTCCCTCAGCTCTTCAGCTCAAGGATAGTGCTATACCACTTGAGCCACAGTGCCACTTCTGGTTTTCTAGTGGTTTATTGGAGATAAGAGTCTCATGGACTTTTGTGCCCAGGTTGGCTTTGAACCAAGATCCTCTCAGACTCTAGCTTCCTGAGTAGCTAGGATTACAGACGTGAGCCACTGGTACCTGTTTTTGTTTTTGTTTTTTTGTCAGTTATGGGGTCTGAACTCTGGGCCTGGGCACTGTCCCTCAGCTCTTCAGCTCAAGGCTAGCACTCTACCACTTGAGCCACAGTGCCACTTCCAGCCTTTTCTGTTTATGTGGTGCTGAGGAATCGAACCAAGGGCCTTATGCATGCAAGGCAAGCACTCTACCACTGAGCCACCTTTCCAGCTCCCCACTTTTTTATTTTTTTTTTAAGGTACCAGGCATTGAACTAAGGCGAGTGCTCTACTGCTTGAATGAATATTCCCAGCTCCATCTTAGATTTTTTTCTGAGGCCCATTTAGTTTGACTTTTTCTCATCACGGGGGTTCAGTAAATGTTGGTTGAATGTCTTGAGAGGGTATTAGCTTCTATGCTAACTAGGGTGTTGGAGCACTGCAGAAATTTTTTTTTAATATGCAACATATAAATAAATAAATAAAGCTTTCTGGAGTATGAAGTGGAGGCCTGAAATGGCTCTGTTCAATATGCTGCTGACATCGTGGTCATTCGTAGGGTTTCTTTTCTTTTTTTTTTCTGTCAGTCGTGGGGCTTGAACTCTGGGCCTGGGCGCTGTCCCTCAGCTCTTCAGCTCAAGGCGAGCGCTCTACCACTTGAGCTACAGCGCCA